CGCAAATGGCTACCATATTGAAAAATATACTATTTTTGTATGATAATTATGGGTTTTGTATTTTATTTTAATAGAAGTTGATGTTGCTTTTGCAATTATCCATCAATTTTTTAAAATTAAACACTATCTACAGATTTGCATCGAAGCGTTTCTTATGATAGTGATTTTAATCACTGTCAGATTAAATCTATACTGGACCCTACTATGCAATGTCTCCACTATGCCGCGACCCCACTGTGCTACCGTTTTATATTATATTTTTAAATATCTGCTATTTTTCTTTAAAATAAAAGAATATTTATAAAACTGAATTTCAATCGGTCAACATTATTTTTATTAAATCTCTATCTAATTATATCAAAAATATTATTTATCATATATTTACTTCAATATCTTCAGGTTGACGAGCTTCTCTATCTGGATACTGAAAAGCAAAATAAATTTTGATGATTATATTTATCAGTTTTTGATGAACTAAAAAAAATGTGTGTGATTTTAAAAATATTCATTTTTAATTTTAAGGGGCAACCTTTATTTTTTATATATTAAAAAATAAAATGTTGTGAGCAATACATTACTTTGAGATCATTGTAAAAATAAATATCCTGACAACTATGCTATTCTTATCACAAAAAAAAAGTGAGACAATGGCGTCTGTTATTTAATGGTGATACCTTTAATGTTACAAAAATGCAAATGTTAGCGTTTAGTAGCTGATGATTAAACTCTTACAACATCGTTACTTTTATATTTAAATAGTACAAACGTTTTAAATATCTCCTATTATTAAAATTATCCAATTAATCAATCAATCAATCAGACGAATCAGGTGATTCAAACTAATCCTTGCACTCTTACACCTTGCCACTATTATTGATTACATCGTATTCAATGATTATACTACATTTTCTAAAATTATTTATTTATTTCCTTGATATCCTAAAATTTCCGCGCTGATTGGCTCTAAATTTTTTTGGTAGGATAACTAATCTACTATATTTAAAATCTCTCTGAGTATTCAGTCTCATATATTTGACTTGACAATTTGTACAGAGAATTCTTTATTTCATCTCCTGTCTTTTATAGGAGTACGTTGTTTTTCCTTATTGTTTGAAATGCATCTTTAAAATGTGGTTTTAGAATTTATATATTTACATTTGAGTTAAGTTCACCGTTGGTGTTTTCTTCTTCTCCATATAGCTCTTCTACGTATTCTTTCATCTATTTGCTATCGCCTTTTAGTCTATAGGTAAATTTCACACTTTGTAACGGATAAATCCTAATGTCTATAAATCAGTACTATAGGATTATACAAACACGTGAAAGAAAGTTCAATACATTTTCAATATTCGTGAATTCAAGTAAGACGTCAGTAACCAAATAGAGTGTATACCATCAGTAAACGGTGTTTAATCGCTCTTTAGTAGATAGACTTTGTACTCTAGCTAGAAAGCGGAGGTACCTTAATCAGACTGGACTTTTTTTATTCATTTCTTTTAATTTAATGTTTTTTTACAATTTCATAGTTATAAAATATATTTATGTTCATTCCTTATGCTTTATAAGGGTCTAAACTTTAATTCTTCGAATGGAGACATATAATTAATTAACTAGTTTAATAGATAAAGATCTAATTAAGAAAATTGCTGGAAAATAAAAAAAAATCATTAGTTATTTCCCGACCATAATTTTCTTTCCGCCTAGGTATAAAAATGAGAATAACTTCCAAAGTACTGGCCCAAATATTGTTATCGACCAGTAATTTTCTCAACTAAATCATTATCTAACAAATAATATAATTAATTATGTACGTTTCCATTTGAAAAATTAAAGTTGACACCTACATAAAGTACAAGTAATAAATTTATTGAGAGATTTTGAAAATATTGTACTAAAGAAATCTAATAAAAAAACTACCAAAGTTATTTTTATTTTTCAGTTAAAATGGGTTATGATAAATGAATAACTCAGTATAGTACAATTTGTATTAATAATTATCTAGGCTTCGCTTAGGTGGGGCTCCGCCCCAGACCCGAAGCCTTACGAGCCTTACGCGCCTTTGGCGTGTAAGCCTCTTCGGGCCGTCATCATAAGTAGACCACTGATTCCGGAAGGAGTACCCAGCTACGCCGGGAACGATAAGTGTTTTGCAGAAAAAATATTAAATCAGAATTACTGTAACAAAAATATAATAACAATGTAATTATTTATATCAGGAAAATTCAAAAAGTGAATATAGTAAAATATATTGAGTTGACGTTTGTTAATGAGGCATTCTCCTTAGGCGTATTCAGAAGTTATTATAAGGTTGTATTTAATATTTTGTTACATTGTGAAACATATTATAGAAATCTTTTGCTAATAATCCAATTGATGATCAAAAAAAAAAAGGACATTAGGTCCTTATATAATAATAATAATAATAAATTTAACGCCCTGTAGGCAAAAGTGTAGTTTATAGTAAATACATCAAACATTAAATAAAAATAATAAATAATACGTGATATAAATATTAACAAGATAGGTAATAACAATAAATAGTTACATTATTTAAGCGAATAATAATACATAGTAAATTTCAATTTAGATAATGAGTCATTAAAAAAATCAAAATTTGGTATATTATTACATGTTATAGCTAAACGATTAAGAGGTTCAAAGAAACTATAGTTTTGACGATGACTATTAATAAGAAAAAAATATTATTGCGTGAATTGGAAGTAGTAGATTCCAAAGAATAGAATCATAATCAACCGTTGATCGTAATAAAGATAAATATAATACTCTTAAACAATTTAAATTATTAAAATCAAAATAATTACGCCTATTGAAACCCAATGTCTTCAATGCCTTAAGCTTAACATGATGAATATGATAACTAAAAGATAAATCAAATGAAAAATAAATGCCAAGTCTTTAACCAGATTAACAGAGTGTAATGGGGTGTTATCAACTGTATAGTTGAATTCAAACTCATGTTTATAACGTGAAAAAGAAATTTTCATGCATTTACTTATATTTATAGAGAGGTGATTTTGAGAGAATCATAAAAAAAAAATTTCTAAATCACTTTGCATATTAAAACAATCTTGCATGGAGAATATATTATTGAATATTGTTAAGTCATCTGCAAACATTAATCATTTACTATACCTAAATATTTTAGCAACATCATTTACGAACAATAAGAAAATAATAGGTGATAAGTGACCTCCTTGCGGTACACTCGATGTGACATGAATTATATGTAATACTTTAGAATACATTCGGACTTGTTGCGTTCTATTACTCAAATAAGATCGCGACCAAGATAAGAAAGGATCCCTTATTCCCATTATATTTAATTTACTTATAAGTACATTACGATCAATCGAATCAAAAGCTTTTTTTAAATCAGTATAGATTGAGTAAACTTGTCTACCATTCTCAACTACGGAGACTAGATCTGAATAATAAATTAATAAGTTCGTTAATGTAGATTTACCTTCTCTAAATCCGTGTTGCAAATTACAAAGAATATGTTTCACTTGACTAAAAAATTTATTTTCAACTATTTTTTCAAATAACTTAGCTAAATCGTTAAATTTTGAAATAGGTCTGTAGTTTTGTACATTGGATTTATCATCTGATTTATAAATAGGTGTTAAAAACTATTTTTCCACTGATTAGGGAAGGTACCTGAATTCAATGATAATTGGAAAAGGAAATGAATTGGCAAAGTTAATACACAACGACATTCATAAAATATTATAGGGTGTAATCCATCAGGACCACTATTAACTTTTTTTCCAATATATAATAGACCATTAAAAACTTCAGTTATAGAAATATTAAAACTATGGATATCAAGTAAATCAAAATCAGACGAACTCACATTATTACTATGCGATTTTACAGCTGAATAAACAGATCCAAAATATTCACTAAATAGATTGACAGTCATTAGAATAAATATCATTGAAAATAATTCTTATCGGAAGTATATTTGAATTTTGTCTATCCTTCACGAATTTCCAAAACATTCGAGGGTTAGATGATAGATTTTTTTAAACATTGAATAAATAGGCATTTCTTATATAGTATTTTACAATTACGGTGAACCTCAACAAACTGATCATAAATAGCAACATTAATAGTTTGTTTAAACAATTTGTGTAAACTATTTTTAATCTTAAGAAGTTTTTTAAGTTCAATACTAAACCAAGGCGGGAAAGACCCTTTACGATAATTGAACTTAGGTATGAAATGATCTACAATATCATAAATAGTCGAATAAAATAAATCAACAGCATCATTAATGCTCTTATATTTAAATAAATTTAACCAATCAGTAGATGCTAAATATGAACGAATTAAGTTAAAATTAGCTAATTTAAAATTATATAAGGTTTTAGAAGTATTTGAATTCAGTACACTTTAGCTAAAACGATTAATAATTTTTAAAGCTGGGTGATAGTTGTCAATAGGAATAATAGCATCAAGACATAGAGAGACATTAGTTTCATGAAAATTTGAAAACACTAAATCAAGAGTAGAACCTGAAAAATTATTAATATTATTAAATTGAAAAAGATTAAACACAGCAAAATTATCAACTATAATATGAGTTCGCCCAGACGATCGACCATCAACTAATATCCCTGATGAGTCATTATACATTTGTACATTAGGAAAGTTGTAGTCACCGATAAGCAAAAGGTAAACGTCATCACTAAATTTAGCAAAAACCTATTTAACTGTTTCAACGTGTTGTAAATACTTATCACATAAACTATCTGGTGGCAAATAAACCAAACCTATAATAAGATGCTTACTATGTACAAACTTAATAGAGATAAATAACTGTTCCACGTTATTAAATAGTAATAGTATTTCTTCCGAATAAAATTTATTATAAACACAAATCATAACACCACCACCTCTTCTGTGCGCACTAGTATTACTATTTCTATCGAATCTATAAACATTGAAATTATTTAAGCCAAGTTCCGAATTTAAAAAGTCATCATTTAACCAAGTTTCCGAAAAAACTAAATAATCATACAAATAACAAGGAATATTTACTTTTAGTAGATTTAATTTAGATCTCCACCCCCTAACATTTTGATAATACCCCTTTAAAAATTTAAATTTATAATTATAAATAGGAAAAATATTACTATAATTAGAATTACAAGATACAGGGCGATGAATCAGTTTTTTGTTTTTGAAAGCTGAGGTGAACCATTCACGTATTTTATAAACCAATTATACTCTTCATTTAATTTTTTATCGCGAATAAAGGATTTTAAATCATTTAGCAGTTTCCGTAGGTAAAGTGTCAAATCAAGACACATGCCTACTTTATTCCATTTTACAATATTACGCAGTTTCTTTTTACATTTCAAAACCGAATGAACTTCATTAGCATTCAATAGTTCAATTAAAACTAGTCTTGGTTTTGTATTAAATTTACCAATACGTTTACAGGAAGATACCGTGAGAGATAGTGAAAAATCATTAATGAAATGATGAATACAGTTAGATAATTGTTCATGGGTTTCATTGGAATTATCCGGAATATTATAGATTATAATATTTCGATTTTTAATACTACTATCTTTTGATTCTTTCACTATGTCAACAGTAACCAATAATGTTGAACTAACGGGTCCACATTCAAAATTATTAATGTTTACTTTAAGAGACTCGACATCACTTTTTAAATTAGTATAATCATTTTTCAATAAAGAAACTTCAGTTGACATATTATCAATTTTAGATAATAACACTTAAAATTATTTTCCATATTGAGAAAGCGTATTTTGGATGTCCAATAATTTTGATTCTTGATCACTTTGCATATTTTTTAGATAATTCATCACGTCAGAAATGGATACAGATTTAGTGCCTGCATTAAAACTAGACGATATTTTAATTGGAGTATCACTTTTACCGTTAACATTATTCATTATTAAGAAACTGATTGAACTAAATTAAAAACACTGAAATAGTAAGAAATTGTATTGTAGTAGCAAAAATAAACGATAACGAACGAGTTATCCAAACGACAATCAGCACTACACTGTCTATATCTCAGAAGTTGCCTAAAAATATATTGATATCACTGATTCACATTGGCCGTGCCTGATGAAAATTTCAAACCTTAAGTCGTAAAACGATGGCGTCAGCGAGCGTTTTTCTCGAAAACGGTCGAAATTTTAAAACGCTCGCGGGCGAGCGACAAAAATTTTCCGACATTTGCCAATAATTTTCCCGGGGTCTAGTAACCGAGTACTTTCATTAAAAAAAAATGTTTGAAAATCCGAGCACGCTAAGTAATTTTCCCAGGAAAGCGTTTTTTCCTAATTCTATTATATAATAAGATTTACTTACTACATCTAGCACAACATTATAATGTTCTTTATAATTAATCAAGTATATGCATCTTTCATTTTCGTCTTTGTTAACAACTCCATTTTTGCTAATAAAGTGCCATCCCTCCAAAGGATATAAAGAGTAAATATATATGGATATCTTTAAAAATTCAGCTGCTGTAGCTATTTCGGGGGATTCTGCATACTCACCTAAATAAATGTAAAGAGTAATTTATAATTACTTGAAAAATAAAGAATTTTCAAAATAATTTTACTAGTGTTAACAATAATTAAAATATTTTTAACATAAAAATATTTTAATATAAACAATATATTAGCCAATAACATATTTTTCGTAAATTAAACTTAATATTGGGTTAAATTAATTACTTATTGCTCACTTTTTAAAAATAGTGCAGATTTTTAGTACATATTTAGTGATGATATTAATGGAAATATAACTTAGTAATTTGTTTAGCCAAGTAAAATTTTTTATATTTTCATCTATAATTTTAGAAAAGAATTATTTTAATAAAAAATGAAACTTTTTGTTTCAGACAATGGCACTGTACAGTGTTTTTTTTCACTTGTGCATTAAGTTGCGCTTGTATATAGAAATGCAACGATTTCTGAATTATAAGTGCGCAGTTGCCTAGTGATAACATTTATCTCTACGTTTACTTAAGTCACTGGAAATAATCTCTTACAGTGCCTCTTTCTTTACGCATAATATCCGGTACTCTTTCGATGACCGACTATCAGTCATTTAAAATTTAGCCCAAAATCTGAGTCAATGATAACGTGTTTTACCTTATTTTTTTCAAGTGAGTATAAAGTTAAAAAATTATTAAATTTAAATTATTGATATACTAGATTGATCAATCGTGTAACTCAAATTTAACCATATATGATTTTGTTATTTATTTCCAATTGATTAGTCATTTACAATAAAGAACAACTCTCGAAAAAATAATTTATTTATTCTTACATATGTTGTACATTTTTGAAATACGGGTTTCTCGTTCCTCTTCCTTTGTCATTAGTTTAAATGATTTGGAATTTTTCATATACTTAAAAAAATATAATGATAATAAAACACAATAGTTTATTTATATAACAATTAAAAAATGTATTTACGTCGACTATAATTTTACGCAAAAGTCCACCATAATTTATTGCACCAGTTATCCAATAAGAAAGAGCACTAAAGAAACAATTTCCGTCCCCTGGTATAGTCATTATACTTTTTGGAACATTTCGATACTTCTCAGTCTTTTTTGGAATACAGATGTTCATCATTTTAAATCCTAATTCTTTGCACTTTTTACTCTGCCATTTATAGTCGACTGGTAAAAATAGAGGTTTCTGGATCTTACCTGTCTTTGAAAATAAAATAGGTTAAAATTGAGAGCCGTCAACTTAGTAATTGTATATACAGAGTGCTCAGTAAATAAGGAAACAGGTCAATGATTACAAACAATGAGAATAATAGATACACGTTTTCTTACTAATTGAACACTCTATATTTGTCAGAAGTTATATTAGAAATAATATTTCAAATCCCAACCATAATGTATCATAAACACGTTTTTATATTTTTAATAAGGTTTTAACTTTTATACTACTCACTAAATACACCGTTGAATACTATGTTAAATATTAAGCTTTTTACTTTTTTATAAATAATTTTTAAAAAAATTAATTTTTTATAAGGATATTTCATTTTAAAACATTAAACAATTTGAGTTAGTACATTTTATTTTACAAAGCCTATAACATAAAAAAAAAATATTTTTCAGCTAAGCTATAGTTAAATAACTAAAAAAAAATTGCTATAGATTGCACTAACATAGCACTTTTATTTTTCATTTACAGTTATAAAAAAATTATCTATTGACAACATAACTTATTTATTTGATTTTTGATTGTTTTTTTTACGAAAAAATTATAATTGAGTTTTTGTTTTTATTAATAATTATTTATTTCAATATGGAGTGAAAATTCTACTTTTATAATGTTATTACGAAGTGCGTCAGAATTATGTTATTCAATTTTTTATTATTGTTACTCTTATTTAACCATGATGTTTGGATATTTTAAAAAAATGGACACATCGTAAAATAAAACATAGTAAAAGATGAAAATGAATAAATATTATTGGATCTGGAATAAGTGACATAGTTATATTTATTTTTGCTAAAAGTTAGTTTATTTATATTGCACCAAAAAACAAGCTCAGATAGACAATTTTGCAGTAACTTTGAATCTTATTAAGATATAATAATTTTAAACATTTTACAATCTTCAGCAATTAATAATTTTTGTGAATTTTTAAAATTTAAATTACTAATAAATATAAAAATAATCACGGAGCTAAATGAAAACCTTGAGAGACACTAGATTAAATGGGGAAAAGTTTAGAAATAAAGATTTTGTGTTGAACATCTGGAATTATATAAGAGAAAAATGTATACAACTATAATGCAAATGAATTTCGGAATCCAAATGTCAAAAATAAAAAGTCAAGAGATTTATTTGAGTGAATACCAGAATGAAAACCATGTTGATTAGCAATTATAAACTTTTTACATAAAGGTATTATTTTAAAAACAACCAGTGGCACATTTATGAGGTAGAGCTAAGGGGTCTGGACTTCTCCAGGAGCTGTTATGTGCATTAATAAGTGTACAAAATGCATATATCTGAACTCTTATTATTTTAAATGAAATATTTCAAACTTATTTTTAATTTTTTCCATAGCATAATTTTTATGGTTTTGATAAAATAGTCCAAGTAACAGTGATTCCCAGAAATCGAATATTTTACAATTATAAATTAATTTTTTAATGTATTTTTAAATCAATTTTTTCTCAGGGAGGTAATTATTACACTATTTGATTAACAAAATCTAACATAAACGTTACTTTTTGGATAGAATTATAAGAAAAGTTATTAAAAATAATTAATAAGTACTAACTATTAATTATTAAGTTTTTCAATAAAATGCCATATAAAATCAATTCTCTACACAACATTTTTTTTCTAAATTTATTAAAAAGTCTAATGATGTTCAAATAAATATGCTGGAAGAAAATTAATTTGCTAAAATTAACTTCTGTTTTCTGATACTAGTAAAAAAAAAAATTAATCAAAATTGTGGAAATCTATCTCCGTCATTAACTCATAATAATCATAAGATATGTTCATTTTTCAACAAAATAATTTCACTAAATGAATTTAATGATGTATTAAATAAAGTCTGAAAATCTAACCTTTTTAATTCCTAGTAACATCATATATTTATGGAAAAGACAACAATATGAAATTTTTAATTTCAATATGCATGTTTAACACGTTTTTTTTGGTTAGCGTATTTAGCAATGTAAAATTTTGTACATTTAGTATTGTTTTCGAGTTTTCGTGCTAGACTTAACTCTCAAGTGTAGAGTAGTTTTGTGATAATGACTGGAAACAGATATTTATCAAACATTTGTCCTTAGAATATTACAATAAATGTAAATGATATTTTTTTAAATGTTTTCAAAAATCCATGCACATTTTAAAGCAAATAATAAATTTAGAGATGGCTAAACAAGTTACAGAGAATAGGAACAAAATCAAACCAATAAATGAAGCTATTATTTTATGAAGACGACATAACATATTTCTGCGTGGTCATTGTAATGATGGTTCTTTAACTGACAAGGAAAAGGTTTAACAAGTACAATATTAGAACGCTTAAAACAATTTTATGTAGAACTCATGTATCTTCGTGGGTAAGGCTCTGACGGCGCTGTACGTCGTTACACTCCCAGTAGGAAACTATAAATGCGTTCAATCTTACTCAAAACAAATATATCCTTCTAAAATGTATGCATATATGGGCAATTATGAACTGTTTAAGTTTATTTGATTGATAATATTCATGATTTTTTAATATTTCTTAAACAAAAAAATATTTTATCATATAAATTCAAAATTCTTCTCGTGATATAACAAAAAATAAATAAATAAATAACACTAAATCGTTGTACTACAAGGTGGATTGAAAAATATCAGGCTATACATGATTTTTTGGAAATTTTTGAATTTGTTATCGACGCTTTTTCTGAAATATCAGTATGCAATGATAGCGATACTAATGAAATGGCCAAACGATTACAAAAATCAATGTTTGATGAAAAATTTATTATTGCATTAATTGTATTATTAAAAGGTTTTAGATTTCGTTTACCCCTTTCAAAACGTTTAACATTGATTTAAAATTAACAATTTGTAATTGTGATAGAATTACTATCGTAACGATAAATATCATAATTAAATAATCTAATTTATTGTTGTTATTCTTAGATGAAAATCAGGTTATCATTTAACCATAGAACTTTTAGATCTTGTTAAAGGCACTTGATCAAATAACGTAACTGACACAAGATTTATGTGATAATGGGTGTAAAGCCGTATATTTTTGTGAAGAACAAAACACACTGTCAACGACAAAAATAAAATAACTAGGAATCGGTACATAGGTTTTTATCCAAACGTTTATAGAAATGAAATAACATATTTTCATTTTGGTATTTAATTATTAATTCTGATTCACCAGCTTTTTTCATTCATCCAAATCTAAATCTTTTTGAAATTCTCTCTTTGTCTTAGTGTTCTGTCTAAATAAATTCTTATTTTAAAATTATAATTTATAGGAACATTAAAAATAATTAATATTTAATTAATTAATAGTTAATAAATTCCAAAAATAAAACATCTAATTTCATGCTTGATGAGGAAACCTGAGATTAATTTGTCAAGTTTATCAGAAGTATTTAGTTTCTTTTTTGAGAATTTATTGAATTCATAAATATTAAATAGCTAATATTGAAAATTAGCTTTTTTAGATTAATCAATTGATGAAGTACATTTTAAAGGAAAAACATTTTTACTCATACTACATTTAATATTGTTATTAAACGTATCATTCACATTAACAATAATTGTACATTTCGGTTATAATAGACATTATTTGAAATATATAAGGTGTTCAGTAAGTAAGGAAACATTATTTTTAACAATTGACTTGTTTCCTTACTTAATGAACACCTAAAGATAAGTCAACTACACTATACAACAAGCACAACCATTATCGCCCGGGAATAATGATAAACTGATATCAATTTTATTGTAAGAAAAAATTAATCTAAGAGCATATTTTAGGGGTAACTTCAGAAAATTAAATAAAAACGTAAAATTTTGTTTTACTATAAAATGAAAAATATTTCAAATAAAATTTTGCCTGATCGGTAGTAGTTTTTTATGATTACTTTTTCAGTAAACTATAATTTTTTAGTTATAGGCAAAAAGAATAATTCTTATCTGTGTGTTATGGAAAAAAATATAGCGTTAATAGAAACTACCACGCTTCTCAGCACTTCTCAATGTTTAAAATTAAATATCAATAAAATTGATTATTGACCAGTCAAAACTTTATTTAGACCATTTGTCACTTAATAGTATAAAATAACAATAATTTTATTTTTATTTTTTAAAGTTACTCTTAAAATGTACCTTAAAAATAATATTTTTCTAATAATAAACCTTATATTTACTATAGTACATAAAAATAAATAAATTCACACATTTATTAAAAAATTATTATTTTTTGAAGAAATGGGGTAGTATTCCTTAAAAAAAACAGTATAATATTCAGGGTAAGACTATAATATGTATTTCAAATATATGGTATTCTTTAAAACCCCATGCAAAAAAAAATGAAAATTTGCTCCAGTCTAAAAAATAACTAATGACCTCTGTCAATAGTTGACTTGCCACCCTTTAGATGAATTTTGTACGATTTTTTTTTTATAAAATTTGTTTATTTATAAATATTTCATAATCGAGTATAAACAATTTTAATTCAATTAATTTTTGGTTAGATCGCTGTATAACAAACCAATTACAATAATGATATAAATAAATTATATAATCGTTATACATATTCTTACCGAAGGTGATTTAAAATAACTAATACAATAACAAGAAATGACAGCATTCAATATAATACAACATAATGCAACAAGAGAGTAATTCATTAACTGTAACATCGTTTAGTAGTCTTGAAAAATAGAAAAAATTAAATTGCATTGGTTTTAATTTAAGTTTATATACTTTTTCATTGTACTTAAAATAATATTTAAATCAATTAACACTGTTCATTATTTACATTACTTATGAAATGTATAATAATAGACTAATAATTGTAATATATTGTTTTAAAATTACAATTGAATTTCAAAATATTATAAATGATTTATTAATATTATTCATGCTAAATTTTGGGTATTTATGTAGTCATATTCAGGTTTTATCTAGAGCAGCACAATGCGGTTACCACTCCCCTAATGTATTTCTAATATTTATTATAGATATGATATATGTTTTAAATTCTATGAGTATTTTTAATTTGTTGATGACTTGATGATTTATTTTATTTAAAAAAAATTTTGTTAGTTTTGTAAAATTGTAAAAAGATGTAGATTTTTTTTCTTTATGGTGTGTAAATAGTTTATCAAATCTTAACATGTTTAACAGAACTATAATAGTTTTATTGTAATTAAAATAACATTTGTAACTTAGGAGAAATTATACATTCAAATTCAAAATTTCTGACTCAGAATTTAATTTTTCGAAGCCAGACAATTTCTCAGCTCTAATATTATGTTTTATGATATTTTTAAGTTATTGTATTATAAATTATGGTAACTACTTGTTTTGTATCCTTTATTTACTGTATTTGAGACAAATGGCGCAAGTTAAATAAATAAAATTAACAACCTTTACAAAAATATTTATAAAACCTAATATATAGAGAGTACCGCATGTTCTGACAAATTTTACATTTTTAATACAATGACTATTATGCAGTATTTTTTAAAATCTTTTTTAATAATTATTACCATGTAACAGTAATATTATAAATTGCGATATTTTATCAATAATTTAATAAATACCAAGGACAGAGGGGACGTGCCATAGTTAGGATATACAGAGTGGTCCACCACTCACTGACAACTTAAATAACTTTTGATCCAGTTAATATTTTTAGCTGATTTTTTTTTAAATAATAGTTATACGTTAGGTCTATAGCTATATCTCAATAATTAATTTTTTTAATAAAATGTAAAAAAATTAATTATTTTTAAATTTTAAATAAAATGTAAAAAAAAAATCTAAGATAGCTGTTTTGTAGAGTAGAATTTAAGAAAAATTTTAGTAAAAAAATATCTTATTAATATTCAGTAGTAAATATTCTGTAGCGTTTTGAAGTTTGTGAATATTTGAATTTTCATGTACTATTTTACGGTATTAAACATTGATATACGTATTGAGAAAAGGACAGAAGAAAACGCTATCTTTTCATGATTACTGTGTATACATATGATGATAATGTGTATACATTACAAACTTGGCATTAATACCATGATAAGAAATTAGATAAGGCAATTATTACTTATCACTCTCATTCAAAAGTATATTGAAAAGATAGCGTTTTCTTCTGTCCTTTTCTCAATACGTATTTCAATGTTTAATACCGTAAAATAGTACATGAAAATTCAAATTTTCACAAACTTCAAAACGCTACAGAATATTTACTACTGAATATTAATAAGATATTTTTTTACTAAAATTTTTCTTAAATTCTACTCTACAAAATAGCTATCTTAGATTTTTTTTTTACATTTTATTTAAAATTTAAAAATAATTAATATTTTTAATAAAATGTAAAAAAATTAATTATTGAGATATAGCTATAGACTTAACGTATAACTATTATTTAAGAAAAAAATCAGCTAAAAATATTAACTGGATCAAAAGTTATTTAAGTTGTCAGTGAGTGGTGGGCCACCCTGTATATATAAATGACATCTGACAGTGATAAACATTATTATTATAAACGTCTTGATTCAAATCTATAGGTAGTGTTCAATTTTTAATTCCATAAAATTTTATGTTGATTCTAGTACGTTTTTATGTCAAGTGTTCATATGTAAAATATCGTCGAAATATTGACATTTTTTAATATATAAAATACTCCTAAAAATATATAAATATATGATCAGTTTTACATCCTTCTTTTTTCCAAACTTAACATGATACATAGAGTGATGGCCTTTTTTCACATGTTAGGGAGTCAAAGATGATTCTGGGCTAGGCTGAGCTAGGACAGATATTATGGTCATCTTGCACTAGAGATCATACTATACTACTTAGAAAATCACAATATAAATGTCGTTGGCACTCTAGAAGTCGAACCCAGGACACAGTGTACCAAAACATACATTTCTACTCACTTGTTCAGGCCGATTCCTTACAGTAGTCCAAAAAATCTTTTCATACATTTAAACACCAAGAAGTCTGCGATCTTTAATCATTTCCAAAAAATGCGAAGTTTTTACTTTGACGGCGGATTTTTTATAATAAAACATTCACGAGATTATTTTTGTATTATATTGTGAACACTTTAATGTGATACATTTTAAAAGTTCTGAAACATTTTTAAAAATTTTGTTTATCGATGATAACATTATTAAGTATATTTAAGTAAGTTTATTAAATAAATATTATATTACAATCAGTAAAATCAACGCTCTGTAAAATTGTCTCAGAAACATTATCACTCATTATTAATTAATACATAAAATTTAATATTTTAATATTCAAGTGTTTAATGCGTTCAGAAATATGCTGATATTATTATCGTGTTTAAGAAAGACCTAAACAAAAAAAACAACAGAATTTAATTTCGATTATTTACTATTTATCTTAGGTTGTGACAAAATAATACCAGAGATATTATTATTAGATTTTATATGCGATTTTCATTTTAATAACTGCTCATTCAAGTGATGACTATTTGCATAAAAATAATTTTGCCTATAGCTTATATTTAATGTGAAAAGATTACGTTCTCTTATATTATTTCCTTAATAATAAACAAAAAATATAATTTAATATAAAAATAATATTAAACTCAATATACAACTGTTTGATGCCAAATACATATTAAAATGATTATGAGTAAAATCATTTATACGACATAATTTAAATCATAATTTAAACTAGGGCTTGACATCGATTTCAATAGCGATTTTAAATATCAAAAATAATCAAAATTTGAATTTAAATAAATAGGATATCAATTTCTAAAATTAAATGAAATGAAATTAAAATAATTTGAATATCGAGTAATGAACTGGAAAAAATTCATAAATAATAAAATACTACTTTTGTATAAATAAAAATTAAATTAAAAACCGTGTTATTTAATACATTTGCAATTTCTGATAAAAATGTTATAACCGAATATAAAAAGTTAAAAATTCTTATATTTATTTCACTTGATTAAAAAGAAATTATAATTACCTAAATATTCTAATTAAATAGCTTTTTAGTGTTAAAGTCACATTATGCACGAAAAATAACTAGAAAATCGTTATATAAAGTGTTCAAAAAGTAAGGAAACAAGTCATTTGTTACGAACAAAAATTCTTTTCCTTATTTACTGAACACCTTTATAGGGTATTCTTATTTTTCTTAACAAATGATATTTCATTACTTTTTGAAAATCCTATATATAAAAATTATATAGATTGTATCAGGAATTTAATAGATATAAAAATGTCATAGATATAATAAAAAAACGGTAGCACAGTGGGGTCGCGGCATAGTGGAGACATTGCATAGTTGGGTTCAGTATAGATTTAATCTGACAGTGATTAAAATCACTATCATAAGAAACGCTTCGATGCAAATCTGTAGATAGTGTTTAATTTTAAAAAATTGATGGATAATTGCAAAAGCAACATCAACTTCTATTAAAATAAAATACAAAATCCGAAAAGGGGGGAAATCAATAATTTATATAATAACATGTAAAAGTTGTAATAAATGTTACGTAGGACAAACAAATAGAAATATAGTGGTCAGGTTTAAAAAACTTTTAAGGATCCTCAAAAATCAAGAAGTTGATAAATCTCCTGTGACTGAACATTCTATTAAAAAATAATTAAAAACGTAAATAATTATAAAGAACTTACTATAAGGGAGACAATAGAAATGTTTAAAAATAAGAACAATTTAATTAATTGGGATCTTAGTTCACTGAGAAAAATCTTTATTTTTGTTTGTGCAAACTGGCAAAATGTGATAATATTACTTATTGATAACGTAACCTGGTGATAAGGTCACCTAGGTTATATAAAAGTTTTTTTCGGGCCGGGTTGTCACTTTGTGATTAGCACTGGTGATGGTAACAGTGTTCTCGAAATACGTACCCGAGATTATTAGTAATTTTTTTCGTAATATTTTAGTTATAAATTAATAATTTTAATATTTAATATATGAGATGATATAAAAAAAAAATCATTAATAAATCGAGAAATATATTAAATAAAAAAATACCAAAAAATATTATATTCATAAAATTATTATATAAGATTATATTTGTTGGTCAATGTTATTTTTATAATTTTCTGTGAAAATTTTAATACAAAATATTTAATATCAATTTAGCACTAAATTTAATTTGTATAATATGTGTTTATTTATGAATTTTATTAATAAATTATAAAAGTTGTGATCAGCATGTATTTAAGAAAATAGGAAATGATTTTCCTTTTCCAAAATTTGAATAAAAATAAATGAGAATATATGCTAATTAGGCTAAATTGACATATGGCAATTGATCTTAAGAACATAGTTTTATAAATTGGTGGTTTCAAATTATAACAATGTAATTAACATAAAATAACAATAAATACAATGCTATTTAGTTTTTTAATAAGGAAGTTAAAAAATTATCAAATTTATAATGTTAATGAATCAATAAATGTTTTCTGTTTATTAAATTATTTTAAAGTAGATATTAGTTCCGAAAGCAGACATGAAATCGGCACGTAAATAAACTTAATAATTTATATTTTATATACTTTTGGTACTTTGCATTTATACAGAATTAGTTATCGATATTTAGTATACCGAGTAAAATCATCTAATAAAATACATTTAAAAAAATAGTACACCAGTCTTCAACTGATAGATTCTATTTTTTTTTTAAATAAAAAATTTCTTAAAAGATCTCAAATTACATCTAG